CCCCAAAACCCCAAAACCCCAAAACCCCAAAACCCCAATATTAAACTTATTCCTTGAAATTCCCTTTCACTGTTAATCAATGTGATTTATTAGTTGGTTTCCAGGCTGAGCTTGTACCCAGGACTAGCTGTTTTTGGTATTTGGTCAGGGATATTATCAGACCCCTCTGCCTTCAATCAAGCTGTGTTCAGATCTTTAAGGCTTGCCTTAAAAGAAAGCATCTTTTCACCAAGGGATTTCTATAAGTGAGGGAAGCAGGTACGATTTCAGTAGGAGTGAAGGAGCAGAGGTTTCTTTTGACACGTTTGGGGTTTTGGAGGGGAACAGGGATGGCTTTGGGGAGGAGGCTTGAGTGGGGGAGGGGGGTTTGGAATGGGGGGGGGGGGTTTGGGGGTGCTTTATTGGGGAGTTAGTGATGGTTAGGAATGATGAGAGATGGGGGATTTATTGGAAATTAGTAAAATTTGATTTATTTATTGAATATTTTTAGTTCTGTAAAAATCATAATATTCCATTATTTTATAGCTTTGAACTATACAAATTGCTCTCTATAATATTTATACTCTATCTATATCTAAATCATGATCTCTCTGAACAAATTTAACCTTTTCTAATACCCCTAGTTACCCGTTTTTATCTTATTTAACCTTCTTTTTCCATGCTCTCCCTTAATTTTCATCTATCAGCCTAACACCCAGTATCTTTACCTCCACTTCTTCTTGAGAAAGTGACAATATGTGATTCAGGTTGTGTCTTATAGGGCAAGTAACTTAGAATATCCTTGTATGCCAATTTTTCAGCATTCCTACTCTTCGATACGTTTCTAGCAATAAGCCCAACCTAGCTTACCTCCTTTCTGGTCTTCAAGCGGGTTGAATTTTAGGAGCCGGAGTTGCTAAATTTTGCTTCAGAGGATCTACAGGAAACGTTTGATCAGGAATTATTCATGAATAGAGCAAGTTAAAGGATTTTTAGCATATGAAGATTGATGATAAAAATTTGACTCAGAACATTTTATGTGTGATAGTAGATATTTATTTAGAATTTTTAAAGACTCAAAAGAATGATGAGCAAACCTATTATTTTTTTCTGCTCTTTTCTAGGGAAATGGGTGGTTTTGCTCTGGAAAAGCATGTCATTTGTTGTGTGTATGATTTTGGCCATTTTAGTAACATACTGATTAGAATCTTTGAACTGTTTTACAGTATAAGAAGCCATTTTCTCAAAATCTATCTGAGAATTGGATCGCTTTTGATATACATAATTCTTATTTGGAGAGTCATCACGAATAGTTTTTCCATAAAATCCATCTCTATTCGAGAATCTCATTGAGAACATAGATTGAGTTTTACGAAGCTTCTTCGGAGCCTGGAAAGGCTTTGTTCTAAATTGCACTGCACGAGGCTTGATATACTTTCTTGGTTTTTCTTTAGAGAAGATTTTCCAATTGTTTGAGATTATTTTTCTAACCTTCTCACTATTCTCAAACTCTTTCCTTGCAACTTTCTTAATATTTTCTATATGCAAAGTTTATCAAAAATACAAATTAAACCAGTTTCAATACTTTTATTTTCCCAAAATTTGGGGAAGGAAATTTCAATAACTTTACATAAATTCAGAGGTTTTTAATTGAGACTTAAATGCCTGAGCTGACTAATCAGTCACTTATTTGAGCTGTGTGGATATATTTCACTTTAATTCTCCCCAAATATATACATGCAAGCATGCTTTTAATATATTTATAAGAATAAAACCCTATGTGAAAAGCTATTCGGACATAAAGTTCATAAGCTATTAGGACTAATTGTAGCAGGACAAACGCATATCCAGATTTTAGGACCAAAGGCACTTGAGGATTTCGATCCAGAAAGTCTAAGAGGGATATTTACCTCTCCATTTTGCTTTTACATCAGCCATTTCTATAACAAAGTATGGCTTTTAGTGACGATGTTGATAGGCTTTTTATCTTTTATAAGAGTCTTTTTCTTTATTTTCTAAACCGGAAGTAAGGAATTTGACTTACTGTAGTCTTAATCTTCTCGTTTGAGTCAAATAATTGTGGATTATGAGTCAGATCGTATGCATTAGAAAAGTTTATAGACGACCTTCTGAGATTAGTTTGTTTTTGTGGAGAAAAATCACCACTTATAATCCTTCCAAGTTTGTCTCTTTCCCTACAATATGGAGTAAAACCTTCACTGTCAGCTATAGGGTTTGAGTCTAAAGGTCTTACTCTCCTGTGGAGAATCAATTCGGCCTCTGATGCCTTCTACAAGATAATCTTTTAGTGAAATCTTCATTTATATTTTAATATATAGAAAAAGGGGTTTTGGGGTTTTGGGGTTTTGGGG